GCACACCAAGTAGATAGGCTTTTAATTGTTAGTGATTACTCGGTCAGAGCAATAATATTTCTAAAGGAAAACGGAACATGAGATGATGTTACGTTTTCTTTTGAACGCCAGTGCTATTCAAAAAGAAGGAAAATGCATAAAAGTTTTAAATTCCAGAGCTATTAAGAAGGAATTATCCAAAACTACAGCCCTCCTGTTTTGTTATATTTTAACAAATTAATATCTACTATAGGTATTTTGTTTCTTCATATTTTTCACTGATGTCTACTTTACTTACCATCTAAACTAACACCTGGTTCCACCTCTACACCAATTCAGTGGAAAATGGATGAAAAGGAAGTTTCTTTGATACTGTTTTTCTACAACATTGTAAAAAAGGCAGACTATATCAATGCAAAGCAGAACGCTCCTTCAACAAACACCAGTTGCACAAGCATGCTATCTTGAAAATGGTTAGTTAATTTCGAGGTACCTGTATATCGCTACTGTAACAATTTTGACAATACCCAATTACTACCGGAACGCATTTCATACCCAGTTCTTGATTAAAAGTTTGAGTTCAAACCAACTTAAGGGTTCCCTATTACTTGACCCAAACCCAAGAAAGAAAGAAATTAAACTTGCACCAATTCTACCAAAGAATTAATTCAAAACACAATAAAATAAAAATAAAGATTATGGTTTACATATAAACAAGTTTTCAACTTTCACATACAACAAACTTAAATAACAAAATTATATTAGCAGCAATAGAAAATTAAAAAGAATTCATTGTCTAAAAACTAAAATAGCCACAGTTGAGATCAACTCATGAACAGTTATTCACGATCTTCTTAAAATATGCCAGTACAATAGCATTTGAACATGAGACAACGAATAAAAAATACTCAACCTTTTAGATGAAAAATAATAGAATTTTATTCATTTACCAGACATTTTCATTATATCATTGCACTCTTATTCTTCTCCATAACATTTTATTTCTAGAATTTTTTTAGTAATTCTATTATCGAATAAAATCATATCATCAGATAGAAATATAAAAGGAATATAGATAAATTCAATCCAACATTAGCAGTAGATAACAAGTGCGGATTGTCAGTAGGGTTTCAAATAGTAGTTGTAGCTGCCGTTTCGAGGTAGCGGCGCCGACTGCCACCACTAAAGACCTCAATTTATTTCGGGAAATGCATTTGTCCTAAGCAATGGGAATGCAATGACCGAAAGGCCCTATATTCTTGATTTGGTTGCAATCCTATCAACTTGGTATAGATTCATCTTGCATGCATCCATTTATTCTTTTATGTCCATAAACTTTTATTTGAACAGTAACATCAATGGTGGCTCCACTCACCCGAAGTTTATCACAGAATCTGATTCCAAGACAAACACGTCAAGTGATAGAATTGCCAGTAATTCGCCAGCTAGGGTTTTTCTTAAAGAAAATTATCATTTTTCATTCTTACTTATAAGCATGTTGAGTGAAGTTCATCAGATTGCACAAGATTAACCATCATCAACAAACTAAAGCGTACGTTAAGCATCGATCTCTCTCATGGAGAAACAAAAGAACCCAGATCGAACAGGCGATCACAAATCAAAAGGTGAAGCTCTCTCAATCTCGACATATACATCTTTTTTTTTTCCGATTATGAATTATGATTTCTTAAACTCTGATGATTTTCCAGCATGTTGTCCTCCGGTGGCCAAAGATAAGGGCCACGGCAGAAAGAGAAGCTGCCTAGAAGGATGGTTAGTCTTTGATTCTCCCTCCAATACATAATTTCTTCTTATCATAATCTTGTTAATTAAGTACTATATGTTTATATAAATTTTATATGTTTTGCAGCCTCTTTGCTTTGTGCTGCTGCTGGTTGTGGGAAGCTTGCTTCGACTTGTAAAGATATTTTAGAAGGATGAAATTTTATAATTTTAAGGTAAAAATAAATTACGGATAGAAAATATAAAAAAATATTTAAAATATACGAGTATTTGAAAATTTCAATACACGATATTCGGATGGTAAAAGCTAGGATTAATCTCGTAACCCTACTTATGAGTGATTATCCATAAAATTATACCATGTTTTGTAATTATACTTTTCTACGCCGGCTCGGTAGAAATAATACGTATACATGTACGTGCGAGTGATATCAATAAAATTACATCATGTTCTGCTTGTAATTATCAAATTCTTGCAAGATTTTGGTAAAAAGGAATTTTGTTATGGGTTGAATGGTAAATGTCATGGTTATTTATTGGGTAAACTTTATCCAGAATAATTGATAGTCATCAAAGATTTTAGTTTTTTTTAAATATTTCAATCACCCATCTTTCTAGAGTTAATTATATTTTATTCCTAGTGAACACTCCCGCCTAAATTTAGGGAAATGATCACATGCGGCAGCCTTAATATACGGCTAAAAAAATGTGCTATTAGTTTTGTTATTATTTAAATAACAAAACCGGTAAAAAATTACTGATTTTTTTTTTGGATAAGTAAAATTTATTCATCCAAAAAGAAAGTAGACTAGCTGCTACAAGCAACGGAACAAACAAACACTAGACAACTAAATCAAACCTCAATCTATGCACAATTGCCTATTTACATCATCAAGCCTATTCATGCAGCATCTATACAATTTAACCTTTACAGCCTCTTTTATTTTACTTATAATAGTATCAACCAAACGAATCAACCCTCTAAAATGCTTATGATTACCTTCTTCCCAAATGAAATACACAAATATAGTCCAAGCTAGCTTAAGGATACGCACTAAAAGAGATTTACCTTTTAAATCACAACCATCCAACAAAGTCCTTCATCCCAATAATGTAGCTCCTGTCGAAGCCCACAAGAGTGCATAGCAACACCCCATACTTCCCTCGAACAGGCATAATCAGAGAAGAGATGGTTACGAGATTCCATCTCATAATTGCACACCCCACACACATTATCTTTAGTCATTCCAAACCGTACAAGTCTATCTTTTGCATGCAATTGGTCAAGAATGACCATCTGTGAAATCAAAGAAAACTTTGGGATATGAGCAGGGAACCAAACAAGGTGATGCCAATTAACCTTCTCCTTCATGTCTCAAATGTTTTCCCATATCCAGTTGTCTTTTATTCGAGTCCAATTAACATTAGAATAAAACAACCTCCTAGCCTCATCTCGCAATTTAAACAACTTACTCAGGATCCAACTAAAATGAATCTTACACTCAACATTCCAATAATCAGCAGATCTGAAACAATATTCATTTACCCAAGCAATCCAAAGTTTCGCCTGCCATAATGTTCTTAACAAGCAAAAGGCAAATCTAGATAGTAATATGCAGCAACAATTAGATCATTCTCTTGTTAACAGGCAACAAAAAGAGCACCACCTCAAATCACTTTGGGCAGACCTGTGTTGCTTACGAGAGGCAATGACAGCTGGAACCCCCCTTTTTAAACGAGTATTCGACCACTTACAAGGTATGCACGAGTCTCGTCTAGGGACGGGCACGTGACCCGAACCGACGAGTTCCGACCTGATTGGGTTAGACATTTAAAAAAAATCGAGTTCGGATTTTTTGGATTTTTTAAAGAATATGTTCGGGTAAGTTTAGATTTAGGGTTAAAAATAACTGACTCGTCCAACCTAAAAAATAATATAAATTAACCTTATATACTTAGAGATAATTACAATAAAAACTCTCTATATTTTTTAATTGGATCCTTGTTTTTATTGAATAAAAATAATATTTTTATAAATTCGTATCCATTCAGCATGAGCCACTAATATAAAGGAAACTGACATATAACTGAACGTACCCATGTACTTCTCTATTTTTTAAAACAAAGAGAATGTCCAATGGCTAGGCTTCAACTTCTGTGTCAAAATATAAGGAACCCACCCCCAACCCCCACCACAACCAAAAAATTAAACCAACATATGCTATTCCCTCTTTACCTCACTTTGCTAGTTATAATAATGCTTCTGCATCACACACTTGGTGCCCAACTCTGTCTGGTGAATCAGATCTGATGGTGGCTTTTTTCCAGGTGTTCTAAGCCAAAGCTGAGACCATGGAGATATGGGGAAATTTTTTGATCCATGAATCAAGGTATTTAATTTATGTATGTACAGAGCTAATAGTTGGGCCGATGCGGCTACAGCCCAAAGATCTTCAATGCCTACGGTGTGATGGTACGCAGTGTTTCCCTATACTGTTTTAAACTGTATCAAACCATCATGTTACTTGTTTATCTTTGATTCAATAAAACTTCAATCTGATAGAGCAAATAAAAAGATTTGAATCCTTAAACGAACATAAATGAACAAAAATAAACGAACATACCATCGAATGTTCACGAACGTAGATGAACGAACGAGTCTTTTATTCGTATTCGTTCATTTAATTACACGAACACAAAATTTTATTTATCTTAATTCATTTAATAAATAAACGAACTTCCTGCCAAACATTATGTTCGTTTACGGGACTAATCGTTCATTTACAAGAATAATCAGGATTCCAACTATAAAACCAACATAACAAATAAACAAAAAGAAACAGACTAACGATTGAGGTGGTTTTGAATTTAAAAGTTTCAACAGTAATTTAAAATGGAATTTTGTTTAATGTTGGAATTGAATGCTAAAGTTTGTTCAACAAAAACCAAATTATTTAACACAGAATCGCACGTTTGTGTGCGTGGAACCCACGTAGAAATTTTTGTATTTCTTCCTTTGGAGAATATCAGAAACAAAAAGCCAGGCAAGTTCAGACAATCTTCCTTTTTCTCTTTCCCTTTTGTATTTCTCGAGAAATTTCTCTCTCCATACATTTTCCAAGGCTCGCTCCCACCCTCTCCGTCTCTTTAATTTGAAATTCTCCATAGCACGCACAAAAAAAAAATCCGCTCAATTCCTTCAAAAATCACAATAACTTTTTTCTTCTTATCCATTTTCATTTTGGCGGCTCTCTTTGTTTCCATTCTTTTCATTCAAATGGGTTTCTGAGTTTGAATTGAAGGTGAGTTTTTCCCTTCATTTTGTGTGTGTTTTGATATCTGGATTTCCCCCCCTTCATTGTTGGTAAAAATTTCTCTTGGAACATCGTAGATCTGTTTGATTCTTCAAGTTTTTTTGTTTATTTTGGTTCAGTAAATCGCAAGATTGTCCATTATTTCACCTGCATTGCTCTCACTTGTCTTCACAATTACGAAGTTTTTGTTACGTTTTTTTTTCTAAAAACAAAATGGGATTTCTTATTCCTTTATATTTTTTGTGGTAAATTAAGGTGGAATGCAGTCAGATTGGTGAAATTTAAGAGAACAAGGGAAAAGCTGAGGGCTTTAGAAGGTGGGTGGTGAGAATATTTTGTTTTTGATATTGGATTTTTATATCCTTTTTGTTAGTGTAAAGTAAACTAGTTTTGGACGATGTGCATTGATGAACCTTCGTCATTATTATTGAATGTTAAACAAGTTGATTTGATTCAAATAATCAGATATTGACCAATTATATTCACGTCATGTCGTTGATTCTTGATTGACTTGTTAAATATTGATGTTTATGTTTGATTCAAATAATCAAATGTTGATTAATTATATTCATGTTGTTGATTCTTTAATGAATTGTTATGATGGTTAATGACAGATGATCCTTGTGTTTGGCTATCCTGCATGGCCTTTTAGGAGAAAGGATTATAGTAATAGTGGAATATTGTTTCATGAGGCTTAGTGATGATAACTGGAACAATGAGCTGATCTTTGAATTCAGTTCATATAAAACATTTTTCAGTAAGCAGAATGATAACTCATTTTTGTTTGTATTTTCAGTCTAGACTACGCATTGATAATATCATGGCATCTGGGAATCCAATTTTTGACGACATGCAAAGCAAGCCAGAGGTTATCGATCCTCTGCAAAATGAAGACATTATGGATTGTGAATCTGTTAATTATCTTACTCAGGCTGCTATTAAACCTAATGTGACCGTGTCTACCAATGTTCGGGAGCTGTTAGAGTGCCCTGTTTGCTTAAATGCAATGTACCCGCCAATTCACCAGGTTTGTTCATATGCAACCTTATAATCGGTGATTACTTTCATGAAATTGCTTACGTGTACAAAATCATCGTAAAGCAATTTACAAGATAAATCTATTTTGCACATGCTTGCCATTGGTCATATTGATTTAACCCTCACCTTTGCATGGTTACAAAGGTTCGATGTTTTATTTTTTTGAATATCTTTTGAAGCAATTTACGTTATAAACTTCCAACTAACTGCTCATTTTCTTTCTTTATATGCAGTGTTCAAATGGACACACGTTGTGTTCAGGTTGCAAGCCAAGGGTGCATAACCGGTGCCCTACATGCAGGCATGAACTTGGTAATATTAGGTGTCTTGCATTAGAGAAGATTGCTGCATCTCTTGAGCTTCCCTGTAAATACCAGAGTTTTGGGTGCATAGGCATCTATCCGTATTACTGCAAGCTAAAACACGAGTCCCAATGTTCTTATAGACCATATAGCTGCCCTTATGCTGGTTCAGAATGCACAGTCATTGGTGATATTCCTTATCTTGTGGCCCACTTGAAAGATGATCACAAAGTTGACATGCACAATGGTTGCACTTTCAACCATCGTTATGTCAAATCAAATCCGCATGAGGTTGAAAATGCTACATGGATGCTGACGGTATAATTGCTTTATCCTTGCCTCATATTTCCCTTACCCTCTAGAAGAGGAATTATTCTACTATTTATGCAAATTCGAGAACCGGAAATTTGTTGTGTGCTTGTAGATATGGGTTACTCTAGTATTATACCATTGAAAATAATCACAATGGCGTTCCGAAATTATCGAAGTGGCTTTGCTTCTTTGTTACCATGACACTTTATTTTACCTTGGAGTCGTGTTGTCCCACACCTATATTCAACACGTCTGGGCATGTTTACGGGGATAGATTCCTCTAAGAACCTTCCAAATATGGAAAAACTTGGAAAAAGTTGAATATACTCCGTGTAAAAAAATAGCTGTATTTGACACACACACACTTGACTGTAAGTAAAAGAAAATGTTTTGTTGTAGGGAACCGAAGACTATTACTAAGTTGATTTCTAGTTTTGACTAAGAAATTTGTCTTCTTTTTGCCATTGATATTCAATAAAGTCAAGGTTGTGTTGTTTTAGATTTTAGTTGAAGGATTGTTAGAAGAATGTCATTGATAGTTTAAATTTTCCCTCAAATTTTAGGTTTTCAGTTGCTTTGGTCAGTACTTTTGCCTGCATTTTGAAGCCTTCCAGCTCGGGATGTCCCCCGTTTACATAGCATTCTTGCGGTTTATGGGTGACGATAACGAAGCAAAGAATTATAGCTACAGCCTAGAGGTGGGTGGGAATGGGAGGAAGATCATTTGGCAAGGGGTGCCGAGAAGCATAAGGGACAATCATAGAAAGGTCCGTGACAGTTTCGACGGTCTCGTGATCCAACGCAACATGGCTTTGTTCTTTTCTGGGGGGGACCGGAAAGAATTGAAGCTTAGAGTGACAGGAAGGATATGGAAAGAGCAGTGATGGGATCTATTTTTGGTTGATTTGGGTAGTTTTACATGATCTGCTCATGTATTAGTTTAGGGCTGTAGGAGGCAAACCCTCTTTGCTTGAGCATGTATGAGATACGTTAATGGGAAGATGTAGCTTTTTCGGTTTTTATATGCCTACAATTATACCATTTATTCGTATCTTGTAATGTTCTCTAGCAATGGTAATTTTATGTTATTGTTGGACTTTCGTCGGAATCTTTAATAATTATTATTCGAGTTAATTACATCATATATCTTTAAAAGTATGACTCATTTTAAATTGGCCCCTAAATTTTCTTTGTTTCAATTTTCTCTCTAAACTATGACTATCATCCTTAATTAGTCCTCAAGCTTTTGAACTTTTCAATTTCATCATCAAACTATGGCATTCATTCTAAATAAGTCCCAAAGCTTTTTGAACATTCCAATTGCATCCTAAATTATATGCATATACTAATCACACCCATTGCTAATAAAATTGTTAGGTCAAGTTATATTATTATATATTTGAGAAAAAAATAAGAATTAGGTTAAATTATGGTTTAAACAAATTACATATTTTCATGAATTTGGGGATGAAATTGGAATATTTAAAAGTTTGGGGACCAATTTAGAAAATAGTCATAATTTAGGGATGGAATCAAAATGTTCAAAAGCATAAGGACTATTTTAGAATGAGGGTCATAGTTTGAGGGTGAAATTAGAATATTTAAAATTTAAGGACCAATTTAAAGGTAGGTTAGAGTTTGGGGACATATAATGCAATTTAAATGAATGTTATAGTTTGGGGATCAACTTACTTCAATGGTTAAAAGAATCGTTGTTGTTCCTAAAGGTAATGGGTTCGAGCATCAGTGACTGCAACAGAGTGATTGAGATGTCATTGTTAAATGGTTGAGAGTATTTAGAACCGATATTACTTTATAATATTTTAGCTTGATAAAAAAAATTATTTTTTATGCGATTTTACCCAAAAATCACTCTGACAGAAAATAATTATCTGTCAGGCACTGTTTCACCAAATTTTATCGAACTAACATCCTTTCTGAGAAGGCGTGAATCGTGGTTTCGTCTGAGCTGGCACCACGTCAGGAAAGGTACGGATGGTCATCTCCGCCTTATCTGAGCTGGTGCCACGTTAGGACAGGCGTGGATCGCCATCAGCGCCTTTGCGGGGTTTTGTCCGAGCTGATGCCACGCAAGGGAAGACGCGAATCGTCATCAACGTCTTAGCATTTTAAAAAATATGCTTTAAAAAAATAAAAAATAAAACAATAGGGACTAAGATTGTAATTTAATATATATTAGTTCCATGAGTTGAAGAACTTAATGAGGTTATGTTATATAGACATATTAGAGTATTTAGGTTATGTTTTTTTTTAATAATGTGGGATATTAGGGTTAACTTAATGGCCCTGTTAGATATCTTATAAGAAATAAAAAAAATTAATTTTTTAAAGACATTAAAAATATATTATAATTTTTTATTTTTTTATTTTTATTATGTTAATTTTATTATTGTAAAATTATTTTTATAAAGTTTTGTGTATATATTATAATATTTTAATTTTATAAATAAGACAAATGAAAATTTAAAGTCGCTCATTCTTTAATACAATTATAGATAGTATGAAAAATAATTTATATAATCAACAAACACAAAACATAATACCAAACAAACTCAAATCATAACATTAAAAAAGCTCAAAACACAAACAAACTCAAAACATATTAATATTTTTAATATCCAACAAACATGTTAAAGAGGTAGTAAACTCCTTGCTGGTGCATTTTAGAGTCACTCATTCTTGCCTCTAGTTTACTGAATTAAATGCATTTTAAAGTCACTCATTCTTCAAAAATCTCTTCGAATTTCGACCCAAATTTAGATACTTGAAACCCGATCAAACAAGCAACGAGAAAAGGGTTTTTATTTTCTGTCGAAGGTGAGAAAAAGCGAGAAGGAAGACTGAGCTGAGGAGGAGAAAAGGAAGTGAATTTATTTTCCTTTTAAATTCTATTATTTTAAAAATAATTTATATCCAAATTGATAGGATTTATAAATATTAAGATCCAAATGTATAATTATGCCATTTTTATTAACGGACGTGTAACCATCTCTGTTAAAAACTAACAGCGGGTGGCTTGATTGAAAAAAATTAGCTGACCCTATTCCCATATATAATGGGGTAAGGGGGAGGTAGGATAGTAGGCTGCCCCCAACGCCAGGTTGAGAGCAGCTTCCGTGGGAGACCTCCGGCAATCAGAATTATGAATTGCCCACCGTGGGACACGATCCCACGACCACAAGGTTAAGTGGCTTGATTGAAACATTTAAATAATTAGATGGTTTGATTGATTCAATCGAAACTTTGGTGGTCAAATTGATTTTTTGATCATAGTTGGGTGGTGATTCGTGTAGTTTACCCTAACCACTAATTAGCTCCCAGAATTGGCGGCGTCTGGATGCTATTATTCTTCACCTTCTATTATTAAAATTTTAATAATTTTTTTAATAAAAAGATGGAAAAAAAATACAAGTTGGCAGTGCCAAAGTTTCATTGACAGTATATTTTCCCCACCAAACAATGTAGAACAACCTTTAAAATTCTTGTTTTTACCAGTAGTTTTATGTTATTTTTTATCAATTTTAATGTGAATATTTGATTTTCTTTAGAATCTTTTTCGCTGTTCAACACTATATTGGACGCCAAGGAAAATTTGATGCAAGGTTCATTCTTCATACAATTTATCTCATTTTTAATTGAAAACCCAAATATTTAGAATGTAAGGATTGTTTTCCGAATTCTAATCAATGGGGTTAATTTATTTATTAATGAATGTTTATATACTTTCTATGCAGATTATGATTGATCGAAGGTTCGTTCTTCATTTAGACGATCTCATTTTGAATTGAAAACCTAGAATATTTAGAATAAAAGAATGATTTCCTGAATTCAAATTATTAGTTTTTGTTTGTTTGTTTTGTTCTTTTATTTGTTCAATGTGTGTTTATGTATTTTAATGCAGATTAAGGAACTGATAATTGGACGTATATATGAACAGTGATTAATGATTTGGTTATTGAATTTGGAAGTTGGAGATGTCTACCCAGTATGAAACATCTGACCCCAAACCTCCTTCTGGTAACGTTTCATTTATACAAACAAATTATAGATCAAAAGGCTGTCTTTTTGTATATTTTTTTGTTTAATATTGTCTTCCATAAATGATTACGACATACACAAGAAGGATATGAAAGCAATGAAATTTTGCTGACATTCTGGATTGTTGGCAATGATGTTCTCCCCCTTTCTCTTGATGGAATGGCTATGGCTGCATGCAATTTTTGACAATATTGTTTTTGTAATGAAGAATATATTATTCATGGTGTTAGACAGACGTGTTTCCGGAAACAAAAATGTTTTTCCAAGAATATATGTTTGGTTAATTTGATTATGTTGGATTTGTAGGATCAGGGTCTTCTTGCTTGTATGATCTCTTATGTTCAGACGCACCAACTTGGGAACGATCAGGTGATGCAGAGAGTGCATGGTGTGTCAGAAAAGAATGGAGATCCTTTGGTATTATCCCTTTAAGTCAAATGTTGTGTTTCTAAATATCGTTATCCCATCTAACATGCTACAACTATGTTATTCGGATTCGAGTATAAATGTCAAGTGCGAATATCATCCGACATCAATGCTTTGAACAAAATTCTTTTTTAAATTTCATTATTAAACAGGTGCACGAGCAAGGCTGGAGAGAATGTTGGAAGAGTCTGGGAATCGTGTTTGTGCAGATTGTGGATCCCCAGATCCTAAATGGGTGTAAGTATCTCATGCTTTTGACTTAGAATGTTTTCTTTTTTCAATGTTCTTGTTTCTGGGTTATGTTATTTGGATTTGAAGATGTGTTTAACATGTGTATTCAATTTTTTATAAGTTTTTTTTTTTCATATATTAGGTCCTTGAAGGATCATGTATCCGGTACGCATGTCTAAAAAAATGTGTCAAATACGAGTACTTCAAGAAAAAATAGAAGAGCCAAATATAGATTTTCCCATGCATTTAAATGATCGTTGGAGGATCATATCCCATATATATGCAGAAGGCCTCAGTTTACGCCTTCAAGGCAAGGTGCATAAATCCTGAAAACGTAAATCATGTCTGACAAATATTTAGATACGAGTATAAACTATGATCCTCCACATATATTGAAAAACATAAAAAGTTAAAGCATATCATATACTCTATCTAACATTTACTATTTAGTTCAAATAACATAAATGTTTTTCAGAGATATCACATCTTCATCGTGGATTTCTCTAATACTTTGTATGGCATTATGATTCTAGTTCATACAAATATGAATAGAAGCACGCATGTACACTCTATGTTACTCAGACTTGGGTGAGCCTCCCATATCCGACTCGGATATATCACATTTTTTAAAAGTTTTTTTCTATTTATTTATATAGTGTTTGGAGGATCATATTCCTATATTTACATCCTTCCAGTCATGAAATACGAGTATGGAATATAAATATTTAATAAAAATGTAAAGTCCGAGCAACATAATATTTTATTCGCTGGTTTTCTAATTTGAGAAGCAACTGTGCTTGGTTTATTCAGTGAAGCTAGACAAATGGACGGATGACCAAGTTGATTCTCTGGTAAATTTGGGTGGCAATATCGTAGTAAACAATAAGTATGAAGCTGTCCTTCCTGATAACCTTAAAAAACCCGGACCGGATTCCTCCATTGAAGAACGCTCCGATTTCATTAGGTGACGCCGGGTTAAAGTTATGTCTATTTTTAACACGATCCATTTTTTTCTGAGTACTCTGTTTCTTGCATGGTCAGGAGAAAATATCAGATGCTGCAATTTTTCGTGTTTTTGCAGTCAGTCAAGACTCGTGTCATAAAGAACAACCTAAATCCGCTCTGGAATGAAAGCCTAATTGTTGGAACCGTTTTTTGGTTAGGTTCGGAATTGGAGTTCGACTAGAATTGATTGGATTGGGTTAGAGTCGCCACCGACCACTTTAAAACGAATTTAAGTGGATCGAACACCATCTTACCTGATATGCGTTGTACCAGAAACGTGTCGGGTTCGAGAGTCGGTTACGGTC